AGAGCGGTCAGCTGAGGAGCAACAGCAGAGCTCTTTCACTCCAGGGAGCCAAGCCCTTGTTTCTGAGAAGCGTCAGCGCTTGGCCAGCTGTGTACACTGGCTGGCAGGACGCTCCTGGATGCAATGGACTACAGACCCAAGATTGGCCTTGCTAAAGAAGGAATCCAATGGAGTAGAGTCACTTTCCATTATTCAAGCTTTTGCAATAACCACACTGGCTCAGGCTGTATCTGGACCAGACTGTTGTCTGCAGCTCCAGACACTGGACAGCTGTCCTGCTAATCTGTGATCCAAGGGCAGTTAAAGTCTCCTTGCATTTTGACTGTGTTGCTTAACACCTTAGAGGCAGTAGCTACTCAACAGGCCATGCCACTCCCTTTGTATTTGTCCTATTTTGGCTTGACAGGTGGTAATAAGACCTTAACTATGCAGCATTTTAAGTTTGATAAAGTAAGGCACCGAGCACTTCCAAACAGTTTGCTAGTGCCTAACTATCTTAAATGCATGAAAGCAGTAAGTACCTGCATTTCTAGAATGGGCAAAGAAAGTCTGATTCAGTCCAAAACGCTTCACGTACCTTCTTGCCTTGCTCCCCTTCCCCTAAATGCATTACTTGTGATCGTAGCCACCAGCACTTCCCCAAAGAGCGGGTATATTCAGTTGGCACTCCAGTACTGGAAAGTGCAGGTGCTTCCCAGGGGGTTGGGGTGGAAAATACCACGGTGAAGAGGAAGGCTCTGAACCCCAAGACCACACTGTGGACCTCTTGGCCAGGCAGTCAGCGTCATCGTTGTGTCACGCAGCACAGCCCAACCTGAGCTCAACGACAGCTCACTAAGCAGAAATCCACCTCCTCAGTGCCACCCGTCACAGCAAAAAGGTTTAACATGCAGTTAAACATACCCCAGGCTGTGCTAGAGGGGACAGTGTCCATTGCCCTTGCTTTTGAGAGCAAAGGCCCCTCTGTTGCAATTGGCAACAGAGCTCCATTAAACCAAGACAGATACTAGTATTACAGTTACCATCACTAGCTTTGCCCAGTCACCAGCCCCATTCCATCACTTTGGGTTGCATGACCTGATGAACGGCCCCACAGCGTTAGGATAGCGGTGTTAGATGGCGATGACAAACGCAAGCATAGGAAAGACAGTACAACCACGCGCCTTTCATCCAGAATGCCTTAAGGACTCAGCGTGCTAAACGTCCTAAACAAGATCAGCAAGACAGGAAACTGGAAGCCAGTGTCAGCTACGCAGTTAGATAATAAAACTGTTCAAAGGAATCTATCTCAAGTCCTTCTGAAAACACCATTAGGTGTTGCAGATGTGTTCGCTACCCCTGGACCTTCTTGGATCTTGTCAGGACATAAGCTCTGATGCATTCCCTGTGAGCTGACAAAAAGTTGTGTGCGAGTGTGTATGTGGGGGGGGGAGAGGGGGTGGGCAGAATCAGAAGGGAAGAAGAGGTTTCATTACATATAGGATAGCTAAAGGCATGATGGGTTTTTTTTGAATAAGCCAGAACAGCTCAAGAGCATATGTTTGGCTAGAGGATAAGTTCCTCAAACCCATGATAAAGTAAAGCAACTGAAAGGAGCACCTGAAGTCTCTGCTGTGCTGTTTAGTAACCCAAGCTTTGCAAACATCATTTGCAGTATTACAATGAATGGCTAGTTCCACGTGCCAAAATGATCCTGGTCACAGCAGCTGGCAAGCCTGGTGCCCCATAACTAAAAAAATCTTACCGATGAAAAGGAGAAGACCCTGAAACACGCACATCATTATCTTAGCTCCACTCAAAATTCAGCCCTCAAGAGCTTAGTGTGGAGGAGGCTAGACATGACCCAATCAATCACCATCTGTCTCTGCCGAAGCTCTGACAAGATCTCTAATATTAGACATAAATGTGGCAGATGTGCAGCTTTTCAGAACATAGCTGACTACATCTACAAAAAAAGAACTGTAGTCAAGTTCTCTTGGGCAAGAGATCTATCACCACTATCTGGGATGCCATCTGGAGGGAAGCAAACCTTCACTGTGAGGATCTCTTAAGTTTTACCCTCCTCTTCTCCCTCTCATCAACAACCGACCATCCTTGTCCACAACTCAGCCCTTCCTTGCATCGCATGTTTTGTCCTGGTATTTAGAGTGCTTCCCTATCATCTCTATGCATGGGCACTTCCCCTGTGTCCCTTCTCAAAATTTTTTTCTTGAGTAAGTCTCTTAACTCCGCCTATCTTTCCCCATGGAGCTTTTCCAACCTCAGACTCAGGTATATGAACACTAATACATCCCTCTAATCATCCTCACCCCACCAACCATCCCCTCTGCAAATGCATCCATACCTTCTCACAGGCAGAAGGCTTTCAATCTGGAAGGAGCTACTTCAAATGCTCCCCTGTTCCATATATCCAACCACTATCGGTTTTCCTCTTGCACAACCCCATGCTACCATCTAATTTACACCACATCCGTCCTAGGGTTCTTTGCGCTACTGGTCACTACGTAACTCTGCAACTGCAAAAAGTCACATAACCCTCCTTAATAATCGTCAGCCAAAACTAAGCTGCAATGACAAGTCATCCCACTAGAGGGGGGAGCAGGACAGAGAAGACATGGCCGATGCATGGTCAAGCACATTTCCTTTACTGAAGGGAATGACTCCCATACTGAAATGACTACTAAAACAAGCAGCTTCAGATTTTCTTGCCATTTTCAGTATATTCCCAAAGGGGAG